ACCAAGTTGTCACGTGGTGCCCTAAAACTGTTACATATCTAGCTAGGCGGTGAGCCAAGCGGCGTTGGAAGCTCTTGGCTCCTACCCTGCACCGTCTAAATTGGTGGCAAATTGACAAAAGGACTCTCCTCGATAGGAAGACTTAACAGATTGTCTCTGGTCTGGATTCCTGGCCATACTGGCCTGGAAGGCAATGAGGCTGCTGACTCCCTTGCAAAGGAGGGTGCTACAAGCAGCTTCATCGGAGCAGAACCTGTCATTGGCATCGCTTTAGGCTTAACCAAACAAAGATGGAACACCTGGTTGACAGGAAGATTTATGGACTTTTGGCAGAATCTTCCAGGATTGGCTCACTCCAAGGCGTTTATAAACCCTTCGAAGCTTGATACCCAACAGTTGTTGGACTACAGTAGGGATTAACTACGATGTCTAACAGGCCTTCTTTCTGATCATTGTCATTTGAATCATCATATGCAGAGACTTGGACTGTCGGAAGACAGTGTGTGTCGCCTTTGTTTATGAAATGATGAAACAGCAGAGCATATACTTTGTGCCTGCCCCGCTGGGGATCGAATCAGGTTCTTAGAGTTCGGCGGAGCCGTACTCTTACCATCTGACCTGAAAGATCACTCACCATACAAACTAATCGGCTTCGTTAAGAAGCTGGGTTCATTCAACCGAGTTTGAAAAGGTGTGAGCCACTATAAACCTTTGCGGGTTGCAGTGGAGGGTTTAATAGACACGTAAGCTAGTGCTTACGATTCACAAACGATTCTATATCTAAGTTGAAAGCTTAAAACGTAAGTCACTTTCCAAAAAAAACTCTATTTCTCTATTTATTTTTTCAAATATACAAAGTGGAGAATGCCCTCTCACACAAATATGTGGTTGAAAACCCCATCAGCTCTTTTAAGGCTATGTTCGAAAGAACTGGATACTCTCCCATAGCCTTTGACTATATTCGCAAATAATTTGAATCGTTACGAGCCAAGTTCAATTTTTCTAGTCTCTGAAAAAGTTATTATGACGTTAGAAATCAAATTTTGAGGAGTACCATTATAGATATAGATTCAGTTATATGAAAACCACTGTTTGCTATTCAGTTTTCAATCCAAACATTTGTTATGAGTTTGAAACAAACAGACCTCAATATGAAAAAAAAAATACTCGAGAAAACTCTATTATCTCTGAGTGCACCTCTAGAGGTTAAAGACCAAATTTAATTTTTCTTCCAGTATATATCTGAAAGAAACCTCTAAGCTCAGTGTCTAAACCAAAATTTTGGTAAAATTTTACCAATTTCGAAAAAAAATTGTGTGTACTTACGTATCTTAATATGTAGATCACGAATCCGAAAGGAATAATTAGTGCTCTCCATTATTACCATGGTTAGCCCTCCAAAGTTCTGCAACTTTTCAACTTCCTATCAGCACATTGCAAACTTTAGAATCACAAGTTATTATTCACCATATCACCTTCACCTTCACTTTCTTTGACACTTTTTGGTTTGGTAATCAAAATCATTTTTATAAAAAACTTGATTTAATAATGGCTACGTTTTCTAGCGACATCCCTAGATTGTAAGGTTATATACTAGGGACATTTCGACAAAAAGCAGTTCCGCCAGTTAAAGAAATTTTTCATAGAACTGTTGAGAAGGTAGAATGAGATGTGAAGGTGATGTGGTTAATAAATACTCATGTTTTCCAATAGTTTCGATTGTGCAAAAAGAATGCTGAAAAGTTGCAAAGTTTGGGAACTGTGTAGATTAGATTAATATGAGGCTTCTGTGCTGAACAGCCACTACACTGCAACCTTTGCAGATCTATCGTGTGTGCCCTCATGTATGCTAGAGTTCCTTGTCCAGGCCCGTCCTCGTAACTAGACTCCACAGGTCAGACTTCAAATTTCCTATATATTGAGAGGGTTGTGGATTTTCCTCCCCTAATGTTGCAAACCTTATCCTTGACAGACCTTCGCAATAACATAGTATGTGTACGGAGGTTTCTTCATCCTCTTGGCAAAGCCTGCATAGGGCTGTGTCTGCCAGTTCGATGTTGTTCATGTGTTTGTTGAGTGTACAGTGGCCCGTCAATAGCTCGACCAGAACTCTAGTTGATCGCCTATTCAGACTTAGTAGGTACTCCGTGAATTTTGGCGATGGCTCTTTGAAGAACTCTTTGGCCTGTCTCATATCCGGCGCCTTATTCCACCATTTTTGATATTGTTTTTCCTTCCAGTTGCTGTTAAAAGTTTTTCGCCGCGCTGTTGCTGTACCACAAAAGGGTTCTGGGCCAATGGGGGAGCATCGTCTCCTTCTCGTGCTAGTGAATCAGCCTCTTCGTTGCCCTTGTATCCTGTGTGATCTGGTACCCAGGCTAATGACAGTCTGTTTTGACTACCTAGTTCTTGTAGCTTTTCTAGGCAGTTCCAGACCAGTTTGGAATTGACCTGCATGGAGCTAATTGCTTTTATAGCTGCTTGGCTATCAGAGTATATTGCAATAGTCTTTTCCTTAAACTCTTGCCTCAGTAACTCTTCTGCGCAGTGACGAATTGCTGTCGTTTCTGTCTGGAATATCGTCACTTCTCTACCTTAGCTTAGTGAGACTTTTGTCTTTGGTTTACTTATATAGATTCCTGCTCCTACACCTTCTTCAGTTTTTGAGCCGTCTGTGTAACAGGCAACCTCTGCATTTATTGAAGGTCCTTCCCTCCATGCCTCTCTGCCTGTTATTATTGTTCTGAAGTTTTTTCCGAAGCTATACTGAAAAAGCATCTCATCCGATGGCATTCCCATTATGGGGTCGTTTTCCAACTCTTTGTTCAGCTCGTTGTACCTCTTACCGTGCAGCATGCTTATAGGCATTTGCCCTCTGGTCAGTCTACTGAAGACTGACCTGGCTTCCCCTTGAATATATAGATGTAGTGGCGTTAGGTTCAGCAAGACTTCTGATGCGGCTGTTGGGGTGGTTCTCATAGCGCCCGTGGCAGCCAAGAAAGCTTGCCTTTGAATGCCACTTAGCCTTCGAATCGCCCCAGCCTGTTGAGTCTTTTGCCACCATACCACCGAAACATATCCTATCATGGGTAAGATAACCCTGGTATATAGCCATATGGTCATTTTTGGTTGTAAACCCCATTCTTCTACACAAGTTGAAGGCTATCGTGCTTTTTTGGATTATTTTTTGTAGGTGTTGATTCCATGTCAACTTGTGGTCACAAATGACTCCCAAGTATTTTGCCTCTTGTGCAATTGGAATTTCTACCCCGTGCAGTACTGGTGCTTTCAGCCCTCTAAGTACTTTCTTTGTTGTGAAGACTACTAGTGTAGTTTTGAGAGGGTTAGTTCCTCCTCCTGGCACCATTTATTTATTATGTTCAGAGCCGTTTGTGTGTGCTTCGAGACAGTTCTTGCGAATTTGCCTCTTGCGATAATGGCGAGGTCATCGGCATATCCTAAACATTGCATGCCTTTGGATCTTAGCCTCATTTGTAGCTCGTCCACTAGGATAGCTCACAGTAGGGGCGATAATACCACTCCTTGTGGATACCCATTGCCAGCTCTAGCTGTGACTGTGGTTTCTCGTATGGATGATATGATTACCCTTGTTTACAGACTGGCATTTATCCACTTACACAGGAGGGTTGGAACCCCTTTTCTATCTAGAGCTTTGGTGATGGACTCTGAAGATGCGTTATCAAAGGCACCCTCGATGTCGATGAATGTTGCTATGGCTATCTTCTCATCCTCTAAGGATTTTGTTAGTAGCCTGTTAAGATCATCTAATGCCAGATCTGTTGACTCACCTGGCTGGTACGCATATTGGCGTTCGTTGAGAGGGTTTATTGATAATACCTCATCTCTTATGTGCCTGTCTATCAGTCTTTCCAGTGTTTTGAGCAGGAAAGACACTAGACTAATTGGTCGGTATGCCTTGGGCTGTGTAACTGTGGAAATAAGAGAAAGCCATAACTTTTTTTTGGATCCGTAGTCCACACGTCCACAGTACGCACCTTTTTTGGCGGGTGCAGCATATCCAAAATCTTACCAAAACTTTGACAGTCTACTCAAATAAAGACTGGTTATAAATTAACGTTGACAAATTTATTCACTTATCCAACACATCATTGTTGAACATTCGATCGAGAAGTCGACTCGATCAGCAAATTCAAAATGAATATCAAAGTTGAAGTTGGGTTTTCTTGGATTATTATTATTATTGATTTTCATCGTAGGATCCGTGACTGAATGCTTTGGAAGTGGCAGACTGCGCAAATTCATTAATGGTTCGTGCTCCTCGTCATTGCACTATTTATGATTTGAAAATTAATTTACTGCACTGAAGACGTTCAACAAAAATTTACGAAGATGAACTTCAGACGGAAGAATAGATTACCGTGTGTTATATTTAGATAATAAGGTTTCCTCAAAATAACTTTGAAATGTTTTCATTGTTCTCATATTTGAGTATGCTCTTGTGAGTCTTGTATGAAGTCGTTTGAAGTTTATATATCTGTGTTTGTTCCTGTCGTCAATAGTTTTCAATTGAAATATTCAATTTATAATCGTCTTCAACGATACTGTAAAATCTTTCAACTGCAATTATGAAAAATGTTTATGGATACACTTCTACGCTTCTATATTTTCAAAGAGAGTATAGGACATACTGGAAATGTATCTCCAAAAGTGACCAACGGTTATAAGATATGCCACAGCACTGAATGTTGTTATTTCTCTGTTGGCAACTGAAAGAAACTTTGCTTCAGGAATCAATCAGATCTCGAGTTCTTCTACAGTCGAAGTAAAATTTCTGTACATTCACCCAGTTTCATCAATATCACTATTTCAATCAGAATAACTTCCTGCCCTGTAAGAAGATGATTTTCAACTGAAGTTGGTTTGAGTAACTTGGGTTTAATGGAAGTTTTTCATTAACAAATATTCATACATAAATTCATTTCATTATAAGTTTTGAACAAAAAACTATTTGATTACAGCTCGACCACAGCCTCCAGGAAAGCCTCAATTGACGTCAGAAGTTGAAAGCACCCCAGACTTAGTAACAATCTGCTGGAAACCACCCATTAGCGATGGCGGCTCCCCTATCTTGGGATACTTGGTCGAACATAGGAGAACAGGATCCCCACACTGGGTCCGATCGACTCCCATACCAGTCCCGAACCCAGAAGTAACCATAAGCGGTCTGGAACCCGGATGGCGTTACCAATTCAGGATCAGCGCTCAAAACGCTGTTGGCATATCTGATCCCAGCGACTTATCAGAACCCATAACTGTCACTCTACAGCGATCCGCCATCACTGCCCCGAAATTTACGCAGGACGTTCAAGAAACAACCGCTTTGGAGAACGAAAAAGCTGAGTTTATCGTGCACTTCCTAGGACAACCAGCCCCTAGGGTATGTTGGTTCAAGGACGAGTTCGAAATATTCAGCAGCAGGAGAATAAGGATCGTCACTGAGAGCGACAAAAGCATCCTGACCATTTATCAGTGCTCTCTATCTGACGAGGGAGAGATCAAATGCACGGCAACGAATCGAGCTGGACACGTCTCCTCCAAAGCGAAACTTACCGTCGAAGCATTTCCGAGCATCCGACTGCCTAGGCAATATGAAGAGGGGTTGCTCTTCGAAATAGGGGAGAGCATCAAACTGAAGGTTTCGGTGGCAGGGCGACCAACTCCTCTAGTGTTTTGGAGTCACGATGGTGAGTCGATCAATAATAACGACCGATACGATATCGAATACGCCGACAAAATGTCTGTTCTCAAAATTGCGGGAGCTGAGAGAAGTGACAGGGGGGAGTACGAAGTCAAAGCTGTTAATAAACTCGGGCATGACATTCAGTCCTTTTTGGTCACCATCACTGATAAACCCTCGCCCCCTGGCAAGGCAAAGGTTGTCATGACCCTAGGTAGATCAGTAACTTTATCTTGGAGTACCCCCGAAGATGATGGAGGTTATCAAATAGGTAACTACATCATAGAGTACTATAGACTTGGTTGGAACGTCTGGCTGAAAGCTGCTACGAGTAGGCAAGTGACTACAGTTCTTGGGGATTTAATCGAAGGAAGCGAATATAAATTCAGGGTCAAAGCAGAGAGCTCTTATGGGATCAGTGAACCCAGTGAAGAAACAGAGGTTATTTTCATACCAGATCCAAAGAGAGGCATCTTGGAACCTCCAACAAGGGGCCGTAGTCAGCCTCGTGAGGTGAGTCATGGATTAATAACTCCTGTCGCCCGGAGAAAGCACAGAAATCGCTCTCTAAGCTCCTCGAGAGTAGAAAGCACTTATGTCACTCCCAACTCGGTACCAAATGCTACGATGGCACCCAAACGTCCTGAACGAACAAAAGTCAAGAGTCCTCCTAAGACCCCAGAGCCGTCTCCCTTGGTGAAGAAGAGAGAAGTTGATGCGAAGGCGAATAGGGAGCTTTTCGAGCGATCCGATAGATCTTCTATGGCTAGAGAATTGTCTTATGGTAGTCCTGAGATTAGGCTCAAAAGAGATACCCAGAAAATAACATTACTCCATGCCAACCCCTCCAGTGGATCTGAGAAGTCCAGAACTCCTAGTCCCACGTCTGGAAAAGCTGGTGATCATAAGTTTTACAAGGTTAAAATCGAACCTCCTAGTGAAAATGGGGTGAAAAATAAGTCACCCAGTCCTGAAAAAACAAAAGAAAAATCACCTAGGGAAAATAATGAAAATTTCACTGGCAGTTCAGAATTCATGTTGGTATTATATCCTGGTGAGAATGAGAAAGGTGAGAAACACTAATTCATATGTGCTGAATCAAAAAGTTATATTAATATTATTTTCGATAGTATAATTTTATAAGAGGGCTATTGCGTCATATCGATTCCAAATGTTAATAGGTTTTGTCACACACATAATCCTAAAATTGTTGAAATATTAAAAAATTGTTATAGACCAGTCTACTTCATTATCACGAATATATGAATGTTTGTATGAAGATACTTGTTCTACATGTTTGAATCATTATCTGAAATATTTTCAGAGATTAGCTAGTCTACTAATTCCTCTTTTTTAGGCAAATCCAGCTTTGAATTCGACAATGATTCTGTACCACCGCCAATGTCTCTGTCTGCTCCAGAACTTGGTGCTGATTCGTCAATTTTCAACAATATTCGCAGATCTGCTAGTTCTACCGAACTTCTGTATGAAAAAACTATGCTTCGATTGTACGAAGCTGCGGAAGAGGAAGAGTTGAAGAAAAAAGAACAGACATCTACAAGCGAAATTCCCAAAATACAGATAAACTCCAAGGACAACCAGAAAATTGTTGGTCTGGAAAGGAAGCACTCGTTAATCAGAAGACTTTCCATAGGTGGACCACTCCAAAAACAATCCCTGTTGTCACAACGAAGACACACTCTTGTAAGTCCGATAGAATTAAAGAGCGCTCTTGGTCCTGAAGAGAAGTTGAGAAAGTTTCCCGGGACACTATTGGATAAACAAGAATCAATGATGAGACAAAGATCTCAGTCTGTGGAAAATGAGGAAAACATTCCAGACAGAGAAATGAGGCAGAAGACGGTTTTCACCAAGCAATCAATCACAAACAGACAAGAAATGAGCATATCAGATGAAGAAAAATGGACTGATGACTATGAATCCAGTACAGAAGATTCGGAGTCATCAGAAGAAGATGATGATCTCAGGGAGATTCAGAAGCACTACAAAAAGACTTTCTACGATGACGAAGGAGAGCAGGAAACATACCATCCACGATTGATGACAGGTATGTTAGTACATCCGATAAACGACAAGGAACCTTTTGAAATCTTGACCAAAAGAAAGGAGCCACCTAGTCCCGACTTTGTACCGAAACCAATTCTGAAGAAGGTAGAACCCGATAAAGAGTTGAAACTCACAAACTCATTGGCGCCGACCCCAAGTCCAAGAAGCGGATCACATTCTCCTCTGTCTCCCGGTAGCCCACAGAGGTCACGTTCACAATCGATAGCAGGAGGGTCATTCACTCTACCTTCGTCACAGAAACCAGTACCCGAGGAAAAGCTGGGAGGATCTAGACCTAGATCTCTTTCTCTCACACATCAAGAAGACCTATTATCTAAAAAAGGCAGTTTGAGTGATAGACCTCTCATTCTCCAGAATCAAAAACCCCCATCTTTGATGCACAGCATTTCCGCAGTAGCAACGATAACTGGCATCACTGCTGCTAGTATTGTCATACCAGATAGGCTTCTAGAGAGACAGAAAGATGCAGAGGAGGCAAAAGTGGTTATAGATCATTATGGTGATATAGTCAAGAACTACGGTGGAAGAAGGAAGAGCAACCCACAGATTTTGATGGATAGAGATGCTCTAAAGGAAGCTGCCGAGGAATTAGGAAATTATAAAAACGAAACTTTGAAGAAAGTGGAGTCTTTAACATCTGAGCCCAAGAACGTCTCATATAGGGAAGGAATTCTCAAAAATGAGTTAGTTATCTCCAGTTCTGAAACAAATGTAGGTGGAAATAAGGCTATTCAGAAGCCCAAAAGGGAAAATTATGTTACTCAAGATCGCGTCGTAGAGAAAAATGAAGATAGAAATAGGTTCGCTAACATATACGAACATTTTCAAGATTATACAAAAAGTAATTCTCTCCCTGAACAGAAAACTGTGGAAGATATAACCAATAGAATAAAGGAACGTTCCATTTCCAAATCACCACCAAGAAATGGTAAAACGGGTCCAAATGCAAACGATTTGAACTCCTCTTCACCCAGGGATGATTACTGGGATTATGTAAATCCTAAGTTAGATACTTCCATTAAGATACATTCAGCAAGGTCAGATATCAGGACCAGAAGAGGAAGAACTTCCCCTTCACCAATAAGGAACTCTACTTTTGTACCACCTACTATTAGTAATGAACAAAATATTCCTCTAGGTAACTCTATGCAAAGGAGGAATCGGACTTCTCCATCCCCAGTTCGCAGCCAATTGAGTAAAACACCACCAAATATGTATTATAGCAGAAGGTCCACCCCATCTCCTCTTAGAAGGGCACGTCCAATGTTCAGGGAAATAATGACTCAAACTTCTGATGAGTTGATGTCTTTAGATAGCGACTCCTATTCCAGAGCCTCATCACCTTCTGGACGATCCCTAAGACAAGAAAAGTTGATTGCAGCGGCAGAGGTGAAGGTTCATAGATTTGTAGATTATATCACTGACTTGGCGATGTTCGCTGTTGCTTGTTGGTTATATCTATTCAAGAATGAACTATTGGCCATACCTGTATTGATGATTATGGTGTACAGGCAGTTACAAGCAGAGATTTTGAAGAGGATTCCAAAGTGGTTGTTACGTAGATTCAGGAGAAGGCATCGCAAATGACAAATCTTAAAAGATACTTTTGTAATGATGGTTTTGACTTCACTATTGGTATAATTCCTTCGAGAGGAGGCAATGTCAAAAAATACTTCTGACAATAAGTTATTTTCAGTAGTAACTTGCATGTTCAGTGACGCTTGAATGGAAAATTGCACACAATAAATAATCACAATATGGTTGCTGTTACTTTTTTGTGAAGACATGTCAATAATAGTTGCTAGAAGTAATAATTTCCTCGTGAGTGAAATAAGTGTATTAGGAGGTTCTTTTGCAGAAATATGAAAAGACTAGTTTCATCCATTTGGCTATCTACAATTTGATATATCTATCTCAAATATAAATTGTTGAGAGAGCATAAAAAAATTTTCGGCCTCAGAAATTTGTTTAAAATTATATACAGGGAATCTCATTGAGTTTTGTAAAAATTATTCACTATTATTTTGGCAACACTTGTTTGAAAATCAAAAGATGATAAACAAATGTTGATCATTTTCAGAAAGAGGCAAGTTTTCCTCAGTTTATATTATTTTTCATGAGAATACTGAAGGATTGGAATATTTGAAGGCATCTAGTAATGCCTGCAATATAACTGCTATTGAATTGGTATCGAATGACAATCAAAATTATTGGTTTTTTCATCTGTCAATAAGGAATGAACCTTTATATATTTTGCAGAATGATGCAGTTCTTTCAATTCATATATTCAATAAAGGAAAAATTTCAATACATAGAGAAATTTTGACAATCTCTCTTCATTAATTCCTTTAAAGTTTGTATTGTGTATACTCAATGTTGCAAATGTTGATTTGAATTCATTTGAAAGAAACGTGTATGAAATCTAAACACCTTGATTTGACTAATTATTGTTAATACTCATCGTATTTTGAAAAATTACTGAAACGTGTCATGAAGTTAAAAACACTCACTATTCATCTTGATTGTGAATAAAAAGTGTTTGTGAGATTTAAATGTCATTCAGTCGCTGTTATTTTTTTCAATCAAGCATCCAGATTTTTGTTGTAAACAACTCTAGCCATTGAATGTTACTCATTTGTTTAAATTTCATCAGTATATTGATACTTATTATGAATTTCGTAATAAAATGCTGTTGTAAACTGTTTTCATTCTCGAACCTCCCACAGCACCAACAAAAATAGATGTCAGAAAGAGCCTATATTTATTTCAGGAATTATATAACCAGTAGAAGTTCGCCATCTAGTGATGGGGCTCCAAACTATTTGTAGACTCCAGTGTATTTCAAAACCTACTCGAAAGCAGTACGAAGTGAGCGACATCTAGGTTTGTTGAAAAGAACGTCACACTAGAGTCACAAATATTCATATATTCGTTGATAAATTAATTTTTTCTAAGATTTGGCGTTGTAGGACGAGCCAAAATATAAAATTTTGCTCGGTATGAATAACTCAATTTATTAAGATGCTCCGGCCAATGATAATAATAGTTATAATAAAAATAATAATTTTTTTTCATGTACATTCCCGAGCTGCAGATGAACTTGGTTTAGTTTTGGACACAACACTATCACAGAGTTATACCTCGTTCAGCAAAAGGCAAACACTTTACTTCTGCAGTAACATAAGGATAGGCCAATACATGGTTTTTCTTCGACAGTATTGAAGACTATTCTGGATACTAACAATCGAAACGTCGAGAAGTAATTCGCTTTGAAATCTTTGAATTTTCATTTATTTTTTATTGTTCAATTTTCAATTGTTGCTTCTATTTTATTTCATTGAAATTTCATTTCAGGATTTTCTGGCTGAATATAATTTTTATTTTCTGTTATTCATTTTATTCATTTTTCAGGGATTTGATATCATATTAGAAAATGGATTTTGACTATTTTATCATTATTACAGCATCTTTTTCAGAACCATTCGTTGAAATTTCGAATGTTGGGTTGAAATTCGTTATAAAGGGTCAAAATCAATTTTTGGGCAACTTTTTCAAATTACAAATCACAATAGGCTGATTTAAGGCTGTCACTCAGGCTAAGTATTGCGATAAGTGTGGCCCATGAAGGTATACGCCTGTACTAAAAATCAAATATCTACCAACAAAAATTTCTGAAGTACAGGGGTGTCTTCATCTTTTTGAGTGTGTCACATTGTATACTATATAATTTCGGAACTGAGATGATACTAATTTCCTTATTTTTTTTAACTTCTCCAATTCTGTGTACCAATACCAAGGAATCGGTAGAAAGAGTGAAAAGAGTATTTTCCAAACAGGATCATCTGCTGGCCACAAAGAATACCAACGAAAGTTCATATTCAATCTCATTAGTGTGGTTTGTTGGGGTTCTTGAAGTTCTGAAAAGCAACCAAGTATGTGTTGAAAACATGTTTTTCTGTTAATGAGCTGTCGCCCCTAACGAACGACATTCCTTAGAAGTCGAAACTTCAGGGAAAGGATTATTGAGGTCTTAACTTTGAACACGCGATTCCTGTCTACCAAAAATAATTCATTCAGTAATCCCCTCAATTCATTTCTGATACTCACATAACAGGTTTGTTCTGGTTCTACGGACTTCAGGTTCTAGGACGTCAGGATAATGCGCAGTTGATATAGAGCGTTATGGTTTATTGAGGTAAATTTCGGATTGATGAATCCTCTGTTCTGGTTTCGACTGCGAAATGATCCTAAACTGTCTTGAACCGTCCCGAATCGTTCTTGCTTTCGAGACTGAATTGTTGAGAACTGTTCCTGTTGCTCATGCGCATTCATGTGGTAATTTGTTTGTGCTATTTTCTAGGATGTTTTTTTTTAATTTGAATAATTGATGATTAGATAACATTTGAACTGACTACAAGGATACGCTACATAACAAAATGGACATTATCAATAGTATTTTCTCGTCTTCATCTCTTCATATATACAATAGGTGGAACAGTAGTCTCCTCAATATGCGTTTTGGTTTAACCAAGTGTCCGAGACTATTTCGGACTGTTTGAGACTTTTTGCTTGTACGCAACATGTCTTGCGCAGTTTCCAAACAGTTTCGGATATCGGAACCAGAATAAACCTAACTATACATCAATACAAATACCTAGTCATAGTACACACGAAAACTGAAACATATATAATAGGATGAAGAGAATGGATGGAAAAACATTCATGACGATGCTTCAAATGAATAAAAAGTGATACTCTGCTCAGTATTGGAATGTCATTATTTATTCTCAACCAGAACTGTTTTATGTGCTTGAATCAACAGAAATTAAAATTTTCAGGTTTCGCTTTTTCAAGAAGCAGAATCATTCACTAGAGCTAGATATATTCTATGTGCAAAGGAGTTGTTTCCCAACTACCTACACCGCAGGTTCTGATAAATGCTTGCCGGAAAGCAACTACTTTTTTGGCTTATACCATGCCGAATAATGAATTATATTCGACAGACCTTTATGCAAGATACCTCACAGAGTTGAGTTCAGCAGATGTTTCCCGTTCATCCAGCAGCAGGACCACACTGAAATTATTCGAGTAGATTACCCACAGACCAGTTTCGAGGTATTATTTCTCATCAGTGCAGGAAATATCCGACCCAAACATCAAAGTGTCTGGGACACTTTGCTACTTGGAAGCATTCGTATAAGAGAAAGAGTGTTAACTTGTAACAGCTCCATCTCGTGAACAGAGCCCCAAGCGGGGAAGAAACATCCCATGTACCAATACTCTAACGGAATTCCGTAAAGACAGCTGATAGGCTCAGTGTCATTCATCCTCTTGGCACGGATACACACACCTAAGGATCAAGCCATCGTTGGGATGTCATTCATTTAGGGAATAACAGAACCACAAGTGATTCTGTCATTCCCGTATCCAGCGGGGCTACGTGGAAGCAGGCATCCGATGGCCGGTTTGCTCAACCCTCACATCCCAAGCCAATGCACTCGCCGAAAACAGCATGCACAATGGTCAAGCACTAACTGAACTAAACAGAATGAGAAACATTGAGTAACAAAATTAGAAACTGAAAACTTGAGGATGAAATGAGTAAAATAAAAAATTATGTTTAACGGTTTCATTGAAAAAAAATAACGATGAAAATAATGTACTAAAAGCTAAAAATTATTCGGAGAGTCCTAGGTAGCAGTCATCACACGACTCTCCTCAGCAATCTACGGTGTTGATAAAATAAAATAACCTGAGTGAATATGCAAATAGGGTTTGCTGGCCAAACTTCGATGCTATGGCTTTTAAGATCATTTTTGTGAATGGCTCTCCAGCAAAAACGTTCCCTGCAAATGGTTGTTGATGGATATCTTTCGAATAATTTTACCATCAACGATAGAAAAAGCGAAGAATTCAATATATTGTCTTGCTATTGACAAAACACTTGCCTTGTTATTTCATTTGGATTCCAGGACGACTACAGATGCACTTCTTCACCGGCAGCAGGAGGCTGCATATCTGAATGAGGATCTAGAAGTGATTACGAATTAGTGTGAAAATAACCAGGTTCAATTCAATGTTACAAAAACTTAGGCATCGGTTTTCTCCAAAAAAAATCATACAATTCCGCTTTCTGCTTCGATAAGTTTGTTGGAGGTTGGACAACAATATGTCTTGGCACAATAATGACGCTGGAATTGCAAAGGCTGCTTCTTAAAGCTTAAAACACTGTTCCGAAACAGAAAACTGTATACACCTCAGCAACTATTGATGCTTTATGAAACTCAGATCAGACCTTCTTTGGAGTATTGTTCTCATGTATACCATAAGCATACCCTGAAAAAAAACTGTTTAAAATCTGTTTTTCCGTGAACCAGCTGTCGCACCCCTACGAACGACATCCCTCAGAAGCCGATACTTGTGCGAGCTAAGGATTAACGAGGTCTTACCTTTTAACGTGTAATTCATAACACGGGTTGGACGATAGCAAGTGAAGATCGATTGTTCAGACTAGGGCTTGAACCACCGACCAACAGGGCAGTCAATTCGAGTGAGTGAACAAAGTACCCACGCCGAACCGCTTGGCTACCGACCGACCTGAAGCTGTTGGATTCCATCCAAAAAAGAGCCATCCGCCTGATTGAAGACACGAACATCAGTTGCAACCTTGATAGTCTGATAAATCGAAGAAAAGTTTGGGTTTATCTCTCTTCTATAGATACTTTTACGGGAAGTGTTCATGTTGACTTGACAGATTTCATTTCACGTATCAGAATACGTATTGTGGTTGCTCATCGTTTTGAGGTTCAACTCAGTACACAGTACTCGAACACAGATTAAGAACTCTTTCATTTATAGAACTGTGTTCTCTGAGAACATTTTTTCAAATGGATTTAATCTCCAGAGATTCAAATCCAATATAAATCGCTACTTTCGCGCATGCCCTGTGGTGTGATGACTGCTACCTAGGACCTTCCGGATTATACTTCAAGTATAGGTATTATGTATCCACATCATTTTTATCTTTCAAATTTTAATTGAACCGTTGACCATAATTCGTATACTTATTTTTTAACAGTAAAAAAACCGACTCAACTTAAGTGACAACCTAGGGAGGTAGTGAATTCGGTCATGAATGTGAAATGAAATATCATGTAGAGAAAAGAGACATGTGAAATTGGATAATTTGAAGACTAGAAAATTCAGGCATTTTCATCTGTTCCCAATCGTATAATCAAGACAATTCAGTATACATATTCATTATACTTGATGATTGATTCTTAATTATTTGAATAGTTTTGTCTAAGATGGCTGTTTAACTATTTTTTATCAATTGACTAGGCTAATTTCACGGATATCTCATGCTACATTCTACGTATAATTAAAAATTTCATTGCCAAATTTGCTACTAATGACTGATCGCTAAATCAATCCATCAATGTTTTATTATCGATTTTCATTGTGATCCACCCAACAACTTGATTTTGCAGTTCAGTTTGTTTACTCACGTCACACGAAGTCTATTTTTACATATGATTTGTTCACCCTTGATTTTGTGTGCCAATTTCAAACCCAATGCCGATAGTTCTAGACTACTACCTGTTTCGAACACTCGGTCGACACGTTTTCCAATTTTTCGGCTATTTCCTAAAACGAAAATCTTAAATAAACGAACCCTTCAACGTTTGAAATACGGAGTCTCAATATTCACATTACATTAAATCTCTCAATATAGTGGTGAAGTGATAATAAACAAAATGTATTGTGGAGAATGCTCTGAAGCGACCGCAGAGGCCTTAGATGTTCTTTCAAAGATGAGCGGAATTTATAAATATTCTTATGAGGTAAGTTTTATATTTAGTTCAATGTGTATGCCTGTTGAATCGATGTCGAATATAACATAAGTCAAACCAAAACCGAGCAAAAAGGAATACTTCAATATCTTATTTCTTGCTTCATCTCTTTCATTCTCAAAGATATTCAGAAAAGTGTCTATATCTTGCCATAGAAATTTTAGAAAGTTTACTAGGATATGAGAATATGTAGCACATCATTCAAAACTTTTCTGAGATTTAGATGGTAAATAGATAGATGATCTGACAGCATTTCTCTCATTATGTTGAAGTACATTGAAAATTGTCTTTCACTAGTTCGGACTTCCATTGTCTACTATATAAAATAATTTGAAATCCCTGAAACAACTAAAAAAGAAGAATTGAAAATGAGTAGCTGAAAATTACAATTATATTAACCAGAATAAACCTGAAATGAAATAATAGTGAAATAAAATACAAGTAA